AATCAAATTTTTCAGGCGGAAATTTCTGGAGGTCATGTGATATTCCGTAAATCGACGCCTAATTAAATTTCCTGATGCACGATTTTTCGAATTTTATAAATAGAAGGCGAAAATATTGGATTGGTGACTTTTTTTTGCTCTAAGCCAGGAGACCCTTCCCACTTCCCATAAACTAACAAATAATGGACTGTATCACCCTTTTTTAACTTATTCTCTTCATATTTCCCAACAGGACGTTTATATTTTGTAGATGGTCTAGATTCTACCTTTTCTAACTTGATGGTCTCCTTAGGAGCTAAACCCCACTTTGAAGAACCTGGAGCTCGGATGAGATGCGTCAGATAATTATTTAAGTAATCGATAACTTCTGATAAATACTTAATCCACTCTCTTATTAATTTAGGATTTGAAGTTATACTTTCGACAGCATACTGAATTTTATAAAGCATCTCCGCTAACGTCTTATTGAATCATTCTACAAGAGCTAATTCACGATGACTATAAGCACCAATTACTCGAATTGTAACATTATGCGCTTCCATTAACTGACTTACTGATTTTTTGAATTCCGTCCTACCATCGCATTGTAGCAATTGAGAATAGATAAGGGGGTTATTAGTGTTATTATAAATTTTCCTGAATGCTTTGGCAACCTCATTAGATTTTTTTGATGTAAGTGGGACTGAAGCTTTAAAACGGCTACCCACATCTATTATATTAAGCACTGCTATCCATTTTTTACCTTTGTAGTAGTCATGTGTCAGAAATAAAAGGTCGCACATATGAACACAATTTGGACATGAAATTTTACCATAACTAACTTGTGAAATATTTTTTGGTGACGGAACATACTTTTGCCATTCATTCTGGTTATGTAACTAGTCACGCACTTTTTTGAATGGGAATTGATACCCTTCCTTCTTGAGATCTTTATATAATTTTTGAGGGTTGGTATGATATCCTGTAGGATGATAAAAAAGTAATAAGTAAATTAAGGCCAATTTCTTATTAGGATCGATTAAAATTTGTGCTTGACTCATTTTGATGTATTTTACTATAACGAAAAATTTTAACACTTTCTTGGTAAACAATGTGATTGGTGTATATATACTAGATTCCAATGGATAATCTTGTTGTGACAATTAAGAAATTACGTATACAGATCCAGAAAAATGAGAATTACATTACTTACCTGGAGAAAGAGATAACTACAAAGGATGACAAGATCGATATTCTCTGAATACAGGTAAACGATCTCAAAATAAGACTCCGGAGAGCAGAAGCGAATACACAGTTCAACGATAAAATATATCTGCTCTCGAACTTCAGTTACAAGATATGAACAGTGAATTATTCTCCCTTCAACATAGAATTCAAAAACTTTGGGAAACAATGACATTGGACATGACACACCTACCATCGACAAACACATCAGTTTTCAACTTAATAACAGATGTGAGAACAAATATCAAGCTTTTAGGTGATTCAGCTAGGGGTGATAATACTCTTTTAATAGATAAAATTGATAATCTCCAAACTCAAACAGAATTAAAATTAACACAAATTCAAAATGGTTATTATACTTTTGAAAATGAAGTAACTCAGCTAAGACAAGAAGTTATAAATCTAAAGGATATAAACTTCAATCAACAGGAGTTAACTAATGAGCTAGATACATTAAACAAAACACTCAAAGAACAGATAGATGAGTTATCCGAAAAAAATGAGACCATCCAAATTGAATTAGATGAGAAAACAAGATTATATAAGCAAGTTCAAGACCGGTTAGATAAATGTCAGGAGGAATGTTATCAAATAAGAGAATCTTTGGAAGGGGCTCATGAAAATATTACAGAAGGTGAGTTCGCATATAACGAGTTAAAGCAGAAATTGCGCATCTTAGGATTAACCCATATCGCATAGTGAGCTCGCAATCTAAGGCAGGCTCAAATTTTAAATGTGGAATTTAATATAGCAAGGACCGCTTGGAGGAATCAAAGAGATAGAAATTGGCATATTACTCAAGAATTGCAAAATTGTCAGGAACATGGCAGGAATCTACAAAATGATAAGGTTCTTATTGAGTTTTGGCGAGATCAACTTATAGTGAGGTATGAGAAGTGGAAAAATAAAACCAAAAATGGACACCAAATAATTAATAATTTGAATCAGCAAATTTTAGCACTTCAGAATAATTTACCTATAAATAATAATCGATCAGGTATAGTGGATTACGAATTAAAAAAATACAATAGGCATCCTACTGAAGACCCCGAAGAACACATTGAAGAATTTAGATTGTGGCTTGTAGGTTCTAAAATAGATATAGGCGCTGGCCATGCCAATAGAGTCAATGCTCATGGCGTTTTTGCAGCATCTCTCAAAGGGGATGCTAAAGATTGGTATGAAAGAACCATTTACGGAAAAAATTGAGAATTGAGAAATTTACTTGATAATACTGCACAAGTTGATTTAGGTGCTGTGCAAGGTCGAACAGCAATCCAATTGGAAGCGCAAGCATTAAATCGGGCAAATGGACAAGCTGGTAATGTTGTAATTTCAGCCCATACAGTCTTTGATAAAGATTGGTCTTTTGCTGATAGATGCTCAACTGATCGTATACGTGTTGCCCAAATCTCAAATTACTAGTATTTGGAATTTGGGATTTGAGATTTTGGCAAAAAATACTAATCATAATTTGGGATTTGAGATTTGGGATTTTGGCATTTGGGATTTCGGCATTTGGATTTTGAATTTAGGTAGTAGGTATAACTGATCGTTTACCCAATGCACCCAATACTAATACAGGTAATGCTGTAGTTATAGCTGGTATTCGACTTGAACAGGTATTATATTGGTTTAAGACTAACTACCCTATAGTAATTACAGAGAAACAACGAGTACTTTTTGGTTCAACTGTTCAAGGCAGTGATCCAGTTAGTCGTTTCTATTCTAATTTACGTAGATTAGTTAGACTTGCTGGTATTGATAAACAACAAATCCGATTGTAATTTCTTTGTGGACTTTCGTCTGCCAATCAGATGGAAGTTCGTTGTTTAGGAATTAAAAAAACCCCAGATGAATTATTTCCAAAGCTTGAAGAAATTGAAAAATATATAGTGGAACAATTATCTGGAGCTTATCTGCATTCAAACTCAGATTCGATATTATCCAGTAAGAGTCATGAAAAGAATAATTATTTAAACAATACAGGTATAACAGATGAAATTAAAAACTATGTAAAATCTATGATAGCGCCACAATCTCAACAAACACCAGTTCAACAATCTCAGCAAATTACACAGTCAACTCCTTAATATAGATCACATCCCACTGGGACATATCAGATTTTACAGGATACAAACATGGGTAGATTTATACAATGGCTCAATGGGGAAATTTCAGAGTTCGTTTCCATACCCAAACCCGAATTACCTCCAAAACTACAGATAAAGAGAGTTGAAGTTGACTCTAATGAAGAACTAGCTAATCTCACACAAAGACAATTAAAATTGCATATAGCTAAACAGGTCAATAAAGTTGTAAAGAAATCATCTAAGCACAGGTGCTCAGGATGTCATAGAACTAGTTATCGATCAAATTCTTCTAAATGCCCAAAAAATAAAAAGAAGAGCAAGTCTAAGAAGAAAGGTAATGTTAACAATTCTTCTGATAGCAATTCTGAATCTGATTCTGAGACAGGGTCTGATACTGAGAATACCTCTGAATCTGATTTTGAGAATAACTTTACTGAGAATGACGTCGTGAAAATTATCAATGCTGTTAACGCTGCTAAAGTAAAAAAAAAAGTAAAACCTAAGAAATCCAAGACTAAGAAGAAATCTAAACTCTGTAAAACGAAACAGAAAGATACTTCCACTTCTGGTAAGTTCCGAAATAAATTGACTGTTATTGGCCGTATCAGCTCTGCTGATAAGTCTCTTCAAAAGGCTGTATTAGATATGTTGGATGGTATCGCACCTATAGATATACGTGTTACCCAAATCCCAAATTACTAGTATTTGAGATTTGGGATTTGGGATTTCGGCAAAAAATACTAATCATAATTTGGGATTTGGGATTTGGGATTTTGGCATTTGGGATTTCGGCATTTGGATTTTGAATTTGGGTGGCAGGTATAGTCTTGGTTGGGGCACCCCTCTAAAATTGGATGAATAGATTGGGACTTCAGATCTGTGAGTAATTTTTCCGCTTTATGCAATTGTATTTTTTGTTGATCGATTTCACAGCGTAATTTATTATTAATACTATCCTGCACCTCAAGCCGTTTAGTGATTTCTTGTATAAAAGGGTCAAAAGTTTTTTCGTTGAATTCAAACAATTGTCGAGATAAACTATCCAATTCTTTCTTAACGCGGCAGTCAATCTCCTCCTCATGCTCACATGTATAAATTGGGGCAGTATCTTGGGTTTGAGTTTCTTGATTAGGCATATCTGTATCATATAAGGAATTTTTCAATAGTGGTCAGCTTTTACATTGGTATTTTAATTTTTTCTGATATCTATTAACTTCATGTCTTAAAAAGGATTTGACCAATGGGTTTATTGAGCTGGCTTCTTCTTCGGTCATCGGATTTCTCTTTTGAGAGATTATACGTGACCACGCTTTACAAACAAGGGAAGGAGATAATTTATTAATCAAACTTGAATATGCTTTATTAAATTTCATGATATATGGCATTGAGAAACTAATATTATATTTTACAGCGTAGAAAAAATTGGAATCTTTTATAAAAATTATGAAATATACATCAAGAAAAAATAGCTATTACGAAATAATAATAAATAGATAAATTACATTGAATAAGTTATACATTAGCGGAGCTAGCGTGGCTAATAAATAGATTAAATCGAATAAATAGATATGTACATTATGCATTATTAATTTGACGCATTTCTTCTCGAACTGTCCATAATAATTGGTAATGCTGAGCAAGTTCTTTAGCCGTCATACTATCGGGACGATACATATATTCGAGCTATTTTTGTGATATGATATTTACAGCACGAATTTTTCTACTGATTTCTCTTGCACGTTTAACTCTTCTAACAACATTCTGCACCCACAATTCATAACGACGAATCGCTTCTTTTTCATAGAAAGGATTAGTAAGTTTAGCTTCCGGTCTATTTTTAAGTTCCATATAATCTTTATAACTAATATCGCAATAAGTATTTCCTGTACAATTTGTGCTCCAATGCTCATTCATAAAATTAGGAAATCTATATTCACATCCACGTCATATTCTAGAATAAACGAGCTCATTACAAGAATAACATATTGCTATACTTATACTTACGGAATGCCCAAGATCACCTTCATATAAATACTCCATCTTTCTGATGATAAGATATCGCTTATTATAATCAGTTAAGGTATTATATTTTTTATAGCTCATTAACTGATTCCAAATTCGTTTTTTCCAATCAGATGGGGTTTCACCTTTATGGATTACTGGAAATTGACAGTTATCTCTCCATGCAGATTCGCTCAAAACTAGGCAGTTGTCTGTATAAACCATATTTAACGATTAAGTAATTTATAGTATTTTTTGGAGATTATATGATTTATATTGTATTTAGGGATTTAGACTTATTAGATTTTATCAATTATATACTCTAGATATCTGAATTCATTTTTTGTCGATTTAGCATTTCAGTGCGTAAGGGAACAGAATCAAGACTATCCACTGTTGAGAACATTGTTAATCTTTCTAGTTCATTATCCCGCCTTTTCGCAATACCTGCTTAAAGCCAGATCTTAAATAGATTAACTACTTTTTTTTTCTGAGAAACAGAGCTTCATTGTTCCATAATACTAGAGAGGGTGTTAACTACAATTGTCTGGCTTCGAGTGATAAAGTCACGAGAAGGTGGGATCCAACTCAAAATTATCTTCTATTTGTCGATATCCCACCAATCCACTACACTTCGTTTGTTCATGTCATATAGTGGCACTCTTCGAGCTTATCGGCAAAGAAGTATATGCTATCTGCCCCGACAATTCATTTCACTTTGTTCATTCATGGTCGGAATAATTATATAGTGGAGCTGTTACTATATGCTAATATCTTTTTTCGAGTGGACTTGGCCATGAGAAGGTGGGTTATATTTGTTACGATAAAATTTGTTATAAAAAAATTATTTTGGTGATGGGACTCGTTGAAATTTTGGAAAAAGTAAAGAATCTCGAGTTCGGGTATTGGTATTTATATGTGTCTTGTCACTAACTCCATTATAAAATCAATTGTATATATATTAACTAGTTATGTACGATTACGAATGATGATTGACAGAACATATGAAATCAACAAATGATAGTTGTAGTAGAACGTGATTATTTCATGAATGGAAAATCTATTTTGGGCATATAGTTTATTCTCGGATATAGCGGAGCTAGACTCAAAGAGTCATTTCAAGGAAATAGTATCTTTGACACTTAAGTATCAAAACTGGTTCATAAATTGCACTGGTAAATAGTTATGAGATTTTATCATGAGCAGATGTTGATAACGAAACATGTAATTTTATCACGATATATTTTCAGTTTATAGTAAGTAATAACTTGTGTAACTCAATATCTTCGCTAAAATTATTAACCTATCATGTGATATGTGTTATAGAATGAATTCGAATGTAATAGAACCCGCATGTATCATCAGGTTAACCCCTTTACACCTGTGAAAACTTAAATATACACGTATGTTACGCGTCTCTTCCTCTAATACATTTATTTTTGACTTTTTAAAATATAGGCTTTTAGGACGCGCCGACTTTTTTTTTGACAAAATAAAATTAGGATCAAAATTTAAAAAAAACAATAAATCTATTTTCACAAACGATGTCTGAACGTGGAACTCACGAACCATACTTCGGGTATAACGGTAAGTTCTATAACTTGCAATCTGGCTTTAATAAAAATTTATTCAATTTCTAATCAATATTTAACTTCTTAGCTCTGGTCGACTATTTACAAATCTATAACAACAAGTCGTACCGCAGTTTCCTCGAACTTAATCGTAATACCATAATTTCCTCCATACTTTCTTCAACAACGCGTTTCAGCTGGAATGATCTTGACAATCTTTGGGCAGGTCGTTTTATATGTGAAGGAACTAAATTTGATACTTCTTTGGACAAAAAGGTGCGTTAATTTTTTTATTTTACAAAGCTAGGGCAACTCCTTAGTCGATCATATGCTTGATTTTGGAGAATTACTGGGCTTGTTTGCTTGGTACCCACTCCAAGTCCTCAGTTCAGGCACCCAAACTTTGTTGTTGGTAGTGTTTGGACCTGAGCAGAAATTGCTATTATATAATTATAATAATTTACCCGGAGCCTATTGTGGATACTATTAATCGAGAAGGGGACGAAATAGGAGAATATGATTATAATAACCCACCACCATCAAGACGTTCCGTAATATCATCCCCATACTTCCTTCATCAAGTAATTCTCCATCACCACCTCCAACACCACCAAGAAATGAGAGTTCTCCCATTCAACAACCTTTAGATGGTCAAAGGATTGCCAGGCAATTTCTGCTCAGATCCAAACACTAGCTTTTGGTAAAAGACTGTTGGTTCCGAAGGAGGAATCGGCTATGAACCTTTTTTTATCACTAAATAAAAAAGTTGATGCACTGCTAACATTTCTTCTCACAACAGGTAAAACTTGAACGTTCATGCAAATGGGTGATGCCATACTGGAAGGGAATAATAGAAAATCATAATAAGGTAAGGTATTATAATATAATGGTATGTTATTGTTTAGTTAAATCTAAAATTAAAATGTTTAATCTACATCAAAAACCTATAGAATAATGTGCGAGCACGACTGAAAAGATTTGCTTACAAAGTAATATTCTACGATGCTCCTCAACAAATACCGGAAGAAGTTGATACTCAAGAATCAGTTCTTTGTGGTGTTTGCCTGGATGAAATTAACCCACAAATTTCGAAACCGATCACTATATTAGTTTGCGGACACTACAATTGTCTTGAACAAGGATCCTCCTCTGATGTACATTGTACAGTGTGTCACGGAAAAAATTCGAATAACAATGCATCATCTAGTTCCAACATTGATGATTCAGAATTTTACAACGAATTACATGTAGACGATGTCCTGTCTAATCCTACCGCTGATGAGCTCACCTCCGGAATTATTGATGACACCAATAACAACAATGATATGATTTCTGTTGACAACAATAATAATTATAATCACAATACTAATAATAGTAATAATTATAATTACAATAATAATAATAATAGTAATAATGACAATAATAATGATGATGAAAATAACAATAACAATAATGATAGCAATAACGATGATAACAACAATAACGATAACGATAATGGTGATGACGGTGATGGTAACAATGGTGAAAATAATAATAGCAACAATAACAATAATGACAATAACAATGACAATAATAATGATAATAATAATGGTGATGATGGTGATATTGCTAATAACGATAATAACAACAATAATAGTAACGACAATGGTGATAATGATGAAAATAATAATAATAACAATATCAATAATAATGACAATAACGGTAATATCGACAATGTCGGCGAAGATAATAACAACAATAACAATGATAATAGATCTATTCAACGAAGAAAAAGCCCTCGGAGTCTAAAACCGGTTGTTTATACTATAAAATCTCCACCAAAAAAACGACGTAGAAGTAAACCTGTAAGTGTAAACTAAAGTATTATTAACAATAATAGTTATATTAATAAATTTTATTTCTATCTATAGGCTTCACGACCACCATCATCATCACCACCATCACCGCAAGTGTTATCATCACCACCATCGCCACAAGTGTTACCATCACCACCTTCACAAATATCATCACCTATTCGGGAAGGGAGTAAAAGAATATGTTTAATGTGTCCTTCACATTGTCCAAGAGGGGAAAGTGTAGAAAATGTTTATATATTTTATTTGTAACAATAAACGTGTATTTTTTTTCGAATTTGTTTTTATTTTATTGTATCAATAAAGCTGGCTCTGGTGGCTGATTTCGTATACATGATTACATTTACTCAACACATATATTTTGGGATTTATTTTACTGTATTTATAGCATATATGATCAGAATTTTATCTAAATTTATTGGCAAAGTGAATTCTTTGTGAACCGAGTTCACGAAGTGATTGATGATTTTTTTTTTCAAGTACTCATGTAATTTTTATTAACTTAAGCTTTTGAATATTTCTCTATCTTATATAAAACAATGGCAAACACACAATCTAAAATCGATTTATTAGAACAGAATTCCAAGCTTGTAGCTGAAATTAGTGAACTTAAAAAGAAGTATACTGAGGTCGAGGCTGAGAACGTGAAGCTAAGACAGGTCATAGAAGAGAATACTGATCTCAAAACCAGGTTGGAAGAGCTAGAGAAAAAAAATAAAACTGATAATGCCATCCTTATTGCTGAAAATGTTGAGCTTAAAGACAGAGTTACCAAATTAGAACAAAACCGGATCATTAACGAACAGGAAGCATCTCCCACAAAAGATATTTCGCCATCCTCAGCTTGTTCAGAATTACCTGTAATTTCTCAATCATCCGATTCAACTATTGAAACTTACTCCGATGAAGAAAATGATATAGGTTCTGTGGATCCAAATCTGGTACAAAACGTTATTCCTTCTGAAACGGATCTTGACAATATCCCTAAACAGGTAGTAAACATCACTTCTGTTACACCTAATCTCAGCGAAATTGAGCAAAGCTCAGAATCTGCGTCATCTATCTGCACAGAAACTAAATCATTGGAGGATAGGGAGGTTGATGAATTTCTGGTTGAAAGACATAATGAACAGATTAGTAACGAGATTAGAGAAAGAAACCGGGAAAAGAAGTTCAGATCTCAAGACCTATCTTCGGATAACATTTCGCAATCTAATAAAAACAAAGTACAGAAATTTATGTTAGAAGTTTCTGAAAACTCTAGTCCACAATTACAATATACCGATTCTATTATCTCCGAAGGAGGCACGGCTAATGGTAATGTAGATATGGACGTGACTTCTACAACCCCGAATGAAACAAAATTTCAACCCAGCAATACTAACTTTACGCTTTTATATGAAAAGCTTTGTGATGCTATAATTCTTGCTGATCGTAAAACCCAAGAAGCTATCGTATGTTATTGCCTATTTGGAAAGGCTCTTATTCAAAGACGTAATGAAATAGCATCGGAAAAACAAGTTGATCCAGAATCCAATGCTGTTAGTAGAATTTTAAATAAAGAAGTAAAAGCACAGTTACCCGCAGACACTTCTGATAGCCTTTTACGTAAGAGAATTGAAAAAGCAAAGAAGCTTTATAAACTTTTTGACGCAATAGGTATGGATAAAATTTATCGCATTCATTCCTTTTCTGCTGACAGTATATCTAAATTAACAAAGAAGGAAATTCAATATATTATAGATAATGTATCCTTTGATTATAGCATTCAAATTGAGTTACATAGTGATGAGAAAAATCCTGAACATGTGACCCAACTTTGTGAACCGAGTCCACGAAGTGATAATGAAAATTTATCTGATTTAAAAGTTGAGGTAAGTACACCAACCATATCTCAATCCAAGAAGGATTTATTAGAAGCTGAGGAAGGTTCATTTCCTGAGAAGGTATCACCGGGAAAATTATCAGAAACGATTTCAGAGGAATCAACCGAGGCAAGTGTATCATCTAATCCGACCCATGACCATGCTTACTTTCGTAATAAGACATTGTTGCGATATTCTGATCTATATAAACTATTTATTTCTGAAAAATTTGATCGTTATGGAATTATTGAGGGTTTGTTATGTCCAGTATGTAAACTAGATCATGAAGATGGAAAAAGTGTAAAAGGTAGATATGAAGCTGGATCCTATTTTATTATATGTGGGAAACGTGAAATCGAAATAACAGCATAAATTGTAAAGTCAACCAGGTATAGCCACTATGTGAGTGCCTTCGGTAATTCTCCGGCTTCATTAATTAACGATATTATTTTTTTAGCACCTTTGGTACTTGCTCCGCTAATTTCTATTTCGGGATATGCACAGAGTGTATAAGTGAGACAAAGACACTTAATTTGAATTTGCGGTCGTATAAAACAATATTATGGATAAAGCCTATTTTGAAAAAATGACACTTCGTGCCTTAACCCCTGAATATTTGGACTGGTATGCTAAATTGGTTGAATTACCAAGTTCTTTGACTGATAAAATTCGTTTGATCTTATATAGAGCATATACGGAAGAGACTGGGCTCGATCCCTGGATAAAGTCTGAAACTTCCGAATCTTCTCAAATCAAAAAGGATACTGATAATTATACGAGACATGACGGTATTATCAAGATTTCTAAGTTTCCGGAAGAAAAAAGTATAATCCTTGATGCGGTACATAAACGCTTCCCTTTCTTGTCTTACACTAATTCGAATGCATGGCATCGGGATGTATTTAAATATACTGATTCAGAAGCTAAATGTCCGATATGCAAAGAAATACATACACGATATTGTATATGGGGTGATTGGAGCTGTTTAGGTAAAGATGATCATTATTATCTCAATTGTTCATTTCGTATCGATCAAAAGAAAATTATAATTGCTAAACAGATCTCATGAAAGAATGGGAAAAAATTCATACAAAATTTTAACTAGACACAACTAAATCATTTTTTTCACGATCTGTAATTGTGATTACATGGGGTTGCTCAATGCATATAAAACTTTGTCACGATACTCAATTACGATCGGTTTACGAAACACGAAATAACAGGAGCTAGTAACATTTGTCTAAAAATAACAAATAATAACAACATTAGACAAATTTTCCAGTGTACCCGTAAGTGTTGACAGGTTTATACATTGTTTCGCAATCTCTTTTAAGTCTTCTCAATTCAAAAACCCTAATCAGGTCACGCAATGTCTGGAAGCTGAGTTCTTCTCATGTTCTTACAGGATGCATATTCATATAAAGATTTACTATATTTTTTATGACTGTGAATTCTCATAGTCTGACACTCGATCCCGATTTATTTTCATGTATGCAATATTCAAATTTACACACATACAAAAACTTAATAGGTATAAAATTTATTAAACCCAAGCAAGTACTGAGATTAAAAGATTATGAGCTGAAATAGAAAATAGAGCGACAAAAATTTCAGTTCTGTCTTGTATTCAAAGGAATATTTTCACCAACGTTATCCAAAATGAATTTGTAACAATTAATATGTGATCTAAAAGTAAACATTTCATCGATTCTATCTCTTGTTCTTTGAAAGGATAAAATGTAGTCAAGAGAGGACGTTCTATCAGTTCGGGTGTTTGTTGAAAAAATCTGTATCAAGTGCATTTTACCAATGAAACCGCACAATGAAACTGTGACGAGAATAATTGGTGTGTTTAAGGTATTTGAACTGGCTAAAAAGAAGCCAACTATCGTGAAAATGCTTATTGATACTAAAAATATTATCCGGAAAATGCTTTTGAAAAGTTTCATCCAGAAACAAAGTAGTATTAGTAAGACCGCCAGCGAAATGCCGAATAGGCCGTAAGGATCCACAGAATGATCACATATCCGAGACCTACATAACCTTCTGAGTAGTTTACATATTGTGAGAATGCCAGAAGAAGACTTGGAAGCATGATATAATTTAAAAAAAGTTGACATATAGCATATTTTTGTATGAAAGACAATGATTAAACCTTTTGTTACGTAGGACATTCACAGCAGAAAAAGGTATTGAGATAACACATGTTATAAGGATGATTATCATGAAAATATGATATTTGTATGAAAAACTGCAATTGGTCTGGTCTTCTCTCTTACAGATCAAATTTTGATAAAACGAAATAAGAATAATAATTGTTGCATAAACGCAGTATATAAGATCTAATGAACGATTCAGATAAATGCTTATATGTGAAGGGTCTGTGGGGTTTGGTTTGTTTAGCCAGGAAGAGAAAAGTGATCCTCCAAATAAAGCAATAAAAGAGAAAAACCTCTTGTCATCAGAATCGAATACCTCAACGTGTGGCATTTTGAAGGAAAAAAAGTGGTTGATGTTCTCAAAAACAATACCGACTAGTCTGTATATGTTAAAGGAGTCAATAGAAATAATGATCAAAGGAGCCAGCAAATTTTTACGGAAAACAAAATCTTGTTAAATGCTGAAAAGGCGCAGATTTCATTTGCTTGTCCGTTGTGCCACTGTTTATGAACACTTGACAACAGTGAACCCAAATCAGATGAATATATGTGAATTCGGAGTTAAGTTGTCGTCTCCTTCTGATTGATACACATTCAATTGTCCAACAAGAAACTAGATTTGTTAATATTTGAGCGGGCTGAACGTCATACGAGATGGATTGCCAAAGCATCGGAAATGTATGACAAGTCAAATCATATCTTTATCATTTTTATTTAGCTTGCCTCTTACTCTTCCAATATTCATTTTGCAAAAATATGATTTGACCTTTTTAATTATTGTATGCGTGTAATAAGTATTTTATTTGATCCTATGAATATTAAACATTTTTTATTTCTTTATTTTGCAAAAAGTGATTTATCACCAGGTAATATCGATATATGGTACAGCCAGAAACCGTTATGAATCATGACGATCAGATCAACGTAGAGGTAAGTGCTTCAATTAAGACTCTAATCTCCAATTCTTCTGATTCAAAAGTCAATGTTAATATATCACCTACCTCGATGCAAGCCAAATCCCAACTCCCGACTTCTATATTACCAAAGGACCTGAAAGAGAAACAAACACTGTCCTGGAGTAGTTTCGAAATTTGTCTTTAAAATATAGTGCTGAGAATAATAATTACTTTAACTGTTCAACGATCTGTCCTATATGCAATAAAGATCATAAAAAAGAAAATATAAGAGATAATATAGAAGGCAAGTGGGGCGGTGGCGATTATAGCGATAAAAAAACCTATCGTCTTAGCTGTTATATAAATAAATATCAGAATTCAATCCAAATAGTATCTATAAAAGCATAAGTTAATTTGCGATCAACAATGCATATATAACGATAAATCATTTTCCGCAATCACATGGAGTTTGGGCTTCATGTCACATGCATAAAAACTTAAGCTAATTTTTAGTAATTTTTACTCATATATTTCTCAAACTTTTGATTATATCTGCATCTTATATAAAACAATGACAAATACATAATCTAAAATCGATTTATTGAAACAACGAATCATTGATCTTGAGAGTAAAAATGCCGAATTACTAAAGTTTGTTGAAATTGGGGTTGAAAACTAGAGGTTGGAGTGGGTTATAGAGAGAGAAATTACTAAACGTAAAGTTGAGAAAGTTATCCTCTTAGCTAAAAATTTCAAGCTTAAAATCGAACTAGCAAAACTTAACAGAATTCAATTCAAATAGTAAGTATAAAAGCACAAGTTAACTTCGACAATGCATATATAACGATAAATCAACGGAGCTAGTAACTTTGTCACATATTTTTCTGCGTATATAAAATGTTTAGAAGATTAAGAACAGGTGCTACACACTTATCACCTGAAGCAATTAGTGATATTATTATTGCCAAAGGTATAGCAAACACATTAGCGATTCTAACTAAAAAATATAATATATCATATGCAATAAATAATTAGTATGATATTATGCAACCTACAAATAAAAACATATTGATATACACAAAGCAATTTATATCAACAAGAAATCGTCTGTAGGTCACGTGACCGTGACCTGCTTCCTAGTGAGAGGTCACGATCACATGATATATGGCGCAGTAAACGGCTTTTTACTAAGCGAAATTTTTATTTTGTAAGAAGCATAATCAGAAATTAATACATATAATTTTTTGCTATATTATGCGAAGCATGAGCAAGGCTCTATATTATGTGGAGTACATGTCACTCTTTATTTATGCTGGGCTTTTGATTTTTATCTGAGATATTACGTATGCGATGTCATCTACACTCAATTTTGAAATGGATACCGCAGAATAGGTTTGCACTTGTCTTATCAACCTCTCCCTATTATCACAAAAAAGCATGTAAATTTTTCTTGCTCTTTCCACTTTCTTTCGGATAGTGGTTTTTGTTATATTGCCAGGAAGCCGATATCCAAACTCTTTATTAACTTCGATCTGAGCTGTGTGTTCATTATAAGATTTCTCAAAGTGATACTTGAAGCGTTGTGAAAGCACCTTCCCAAGAGAGTAATAGTAACATATGACTTCTTGATTTGCAATTTCGCTGTGAGCTTCGGCATTATTGATTCTGTTGTATAGATATAAAAAATCATCTTCATTTCCATCTAATGGCAGGTCTTCGAAAACTTCAGATGAATCGGCAGTTAACTCATCGATAAGGCCCTTCAGTACATGGGACTCCTTCTCTTTTTTATCGAATTCAACTGAAGTCGGGTTATTACAAGATACTTTATATGGTCTAAATTCTTCTTCTGCATTAACTACTGTGGCAGGTCCGAAAACACTATTGTGTTTGAGTGATGTAGTGTCTCTATCGGTGATACTGCTTGAGATTCCATATTCAAAGAATTATGTTCTTGTTCTTCATTCAGAGCTAACTTTGCAGAGATCACTTGTTTAGTGGCTTTAATATTCCCATTGTCCGTACTAGATTGAATTGTTGACTGAACTTGCTCCACCTCTAAAGGTTCTTCGAGTAAGCCCAAAGTTTTCATAAATTCGTGATCATCGTTATTTTTTGCGTCAAGTTTTTCTTTGATCCATGTAGTGACATGCAAATTATGTGTCTTTGTCACTAGCTCGCTATTATGTGTCTCCGATACTGGCTCGCTATCATTTTCACATGTTGAGTTGTCGAGAAACTCTGCGATGTCAGGCATATCAGAGGTCCATTCATTAGATTCTAAGTCCTCTATAGTATCCGCACTTTTCTAAGTCGATTTAGCTAGTTCTAACATTGGTTCGGTGCTGGATCCTTCACTCCTAGTGGGTGGAAGGTCGACTTTTACATTTTCAATGTCTCTATGGCAACTGGGGATAGGGCACCTTGATACTCCTGGTGCTGAATATAGAAAGTCCTTCTCGATACAAGCTCTATGAAATACATGATTATAGCTTAGAATGGTAATTGATTGGGGCGGGTCAGATAAAATTTCTTTGCAACATTTCGGACATGATTTTAGTTTTGGAACATGAATACCACTTGCGAGGATGCCTGGTTCATTTAGAATATTCAGTGCAAGGACTCTACTATTGGAAGCCTCCATTCTGTAAACTTTTTTCTTGACAAGGTCAAGGTACAATGGTGCTGAGATGTTATACGTGTTACGACATGTTTTTATATAAGGATGGATATATCACTGGAATAGTATTTTTAACGTTAAATTCACATGAATAGGTAAGTTTATTTATTATAGCGGAATCGATATGGAAAGGCGAGTTTCATGATTGGCGAAAAATATAAAATTAATAAAAAAATACCAATGGTAGGTATATGTGAGAAATTGGGTCACACAAAAAACATGTGGATATGAACACAATTGACATTACAGGTACGGTACGTATTAGTGAAACTAGCAATGCTAACAACAATTGTGTTCCAATTAACAACTAACGATGATGTAATAACGGAGTTAGTGTCTTTGACACATAATTAATTCTTTGCTTTATTTACCTCGAAGGCGATAACTGATACAAAAACAAAATTGCGAATACACATCGCATTTACATGATGCAATACATATAGAAAAAAAATCTAACTATTTCTATGCTTCAGTAGGATACACGATAACATTGATTCCTTTTTCACCAGAATAAATGGGTTGGGGTTGCGTAGGGAAATGACTAAAAATTGTGTCTTACAATTTCATCTTTACTCCTAATTCAGTCTTATTATCATTTTTTAAATTGTTAATTATAACACTATCAATTACGAACTCAACTTTATGTAATACAAATTTGCTGGGATCAGTATCTTGAAATTTATCTAGACGAGCATTTCTGATTACAGGCCCAAGAGAAGAAACTTGATTATCATTAGAATTAGATATTTTTATTTCGAAGATATTCTTCACTTCCTCACCAGGAATAAGAATAATAAGACCACCACTGGTAATTTCATCAAACTTGGTTTTATCTGACATCTCGCTTTTCCTAAACATAAGGACATATAGTAAGAATATATGAATCTTTTATACCTAACTAATGGGCAGGGGCGAAGTGGTAGACTTATAAAATATACCTTAAAAAAATTGTGGGAATGTAAAGGACAAAGTCTCTCAACCCGCTTATTTATATGCTTCACGAAATCTGAAAACTCGCTAGAGGAATCTTATCTTTATCAATGGAATCTACGACTGAGATCTTCAAACCTGTTATGATATTGTAGAACAACAAATCTCCGATACTTCAGCCTCCATAGAAAGTATTACTATACACAATTAATGCCAATATGTAGAGCATTAAGTCATAGACACATGAATGAAACCCCTTTAGCTCAATGATCGCAACGAAGATGGTTAACGCAATGATGATCTAACGGAGATGGCGGAGATTTCAAAGTCCTATAACTGGCATTTTTTGATAACAGCGTTGATAAGTAATGACAGGTTCTTTATCCTTATTGCCTTTTTA